CTTTCAAGTCCTCTCTCAAACTTTCAACACAGGATCATCTGAGGGCAAACGTCTAGACGGTGCTTTGCTTAAGGTGCAGGTGATTAGGCAACACATGGGACTGAGGAGATATTATTCTCCAGGTTCTCAAAATAAAGCCTGTGGTGGATTCATGACTCTAGGCCGCCTACAGCTTTGTCTCTTCTCCTGCCGATCACAACATACCAATCTCACACACACCTGTTAAATGTCACTCATTTTAGTGCCAGCTGTGGTTAGATTCTTGTTTGCATGTGTGAGCTAAGTAAATCAGCTGTATGAGTTTTCATTCCACCTCCGCTTCTGTTCCTTTCTCCCTGCATTGCCACTGCAGTGTCATTGTAATGTTTGTGACATCAAGTGGACAAAGTTGAAATTGCAGGTCCATGTTTACTCAGCGGCTTTACACAAACAGAAATGATGTATCGATGACTGTAATGACTCTTGCCACTAAATACAACCATATATGGTCAGTCATTACTTTGTGAATGCAATGCCCATTACATTTAACACAGCCAGTTTCTTTGGCTGGAAAGAAGGTCACAACTGTTCAACAAAAGAAAACACAGTAAACAAGTTCACACCCAAATACACATTTCTCTCAGTCTGATATATCTCAAATCATATTACTGAAAATGTTTGATCCCTAAATGTTCATAGTGACACCCCACCCCCATCGCTGCTGAGTTCAGATTATCCAATTTACGCTCTCATCCAGCAGTGGTATGGAGAATGTATTCCCTGTGATGAAATTGTAATGTTACACGTTCAAAGACTTTTCCTTCACCTTTAACCCTTTTATCTAAAATCATTCAAGTAGCATGACACAGAATAATAGATTCATCTTTGATGTAAAAAAAAGAAAAGAAAAGAAATCACTGACTACAAACCCCTTTGTATCATTCAGATGTAGCCTGTTTGATGCAAGGCAGAGCATACTAATACAATATGTGCACTCAGGTGTGTGTTTGCCCATTAGTACTTTACAAAGGTACCACCTGAACTCGCTCAGTAGAGCAACATCCATACTTTACTTTTACTGTGCATCTTGTCTGGTTGCACATGTACATGCATAGATGCCTTTATATGTTTTGTGCAGATACATTTATCCAGCCTCCACCGTGCAGTGTCATGTGTAGAAGTGGAGTCACAAGCAGCTCCATGCCCTTGCTGCCCAGTTTAAAGGGGATATTGCACACACAAATAACATGCACACATACAAGATTGAGGATGGACCCTGATGCATAGATACCCTTAAGTACTCAGTGATCTTGGTGTGCAGATGCAGCTGGAGATAGGCATCCACCTCCTTCTACAGTGATTTACTAACACGCTGTAGCTCTGTTGCTGTGAGTCACACAGCCGAGAAGGACCCCCAGGTGTGCATGACAAGAAAACACAAGTGGAAAGTGCATTGGAGAAACTGTGATTAAACACGGTGAACCCACACACAGGAACAGAAAGACAGAAGCATGACATTATGGAACCAATATTATAGTTTAAAAAAAGAGCAGGTCGACGTGCTGAAACACTAAACTAGATTTCTTTGCTTGGTGATGAAACAGTTTGTTTGTGACCGTATAACACACCAAACTAAATTCAGTCATCCATCACTTTTATCAGGTCTTTCTCGGCTGTCTGTCTTTCTCTAACACCAAACACACTTTAATGTTAGTGTCTGTGGAAAGATTTAAAGTTCTTGTTTACCAGAACACACACACACACACACGTATGGAGGAACACAAACACAAAATACACAAGTGGAAATTAGAATTTTCAGACTCTTGTACTTGAGTACGTACGATTTTCTACTTTTACTCCATTACTGTATATTTGAAGTGAAATAAAACCCATACCTTTTACTCTTCACTGTTTTATTTGACTTGAACTCTACTCATCACCTTGAGGTGTTTTCATTAATCATAAAACCACCTTCTTTTATTTTCTATTAGACTTAGTAGTGGTTGTGTTTTAATGAATAACGGGTGATTTGAAAAAAATCTAAATCAGAATGAAGAGTTTTCAGAGGTAAAATTGACACTAACCCATAAATAGAGGTAAAGAGTTTAATCTGCTTTTAAGAATATTCTCCAGGAGAAACGCACTGGGTCAGTGAGAGGCTCTGCAGATAAAAGCATAGAGGTTAATTTAATGTGACACATTGTTAAAGGTTAAATAACTCAGCAGTATATAAAGAGGTTCCGTTCAGCTCTGCATGTATCAGCTACAACATTAGAATATTCCATCCATCCAACTATTACTTAGACCAGGGTCCACCTGGACAGGTCACCAGTTCCATTAGAATATTTCATATATGTTAATGCACAGTTAAAATA